GGAATGCCAAACTTCCACTGAGGGTTTAAGCTTCTAGCAATTCGACCCAAGGATTCAAATATAACACCCAAAGTATTGAGCCACTTGGAACCAAGCAGAGACCACATCTTCTTCACTTTTATCCGCAACCCTTGTTTATGCACTGCTAGATAATTTACAATATTGATAAGGTCGAGGTTTGGCATCTGGCCATTGGATGCCTCCGCATAAATATTAAGACTGTCTTCATACTGGTTACCTTGCTCTGCAACTTTAATTACAAGAGCTGCAGCCATAGTTCCTGCACGTCTAAAACCACCATATAACTTTCCATCCAAATAAAGATCTTGTCCAAGTTCATTAAATGTGCTGCTCTCGTTACAGGTTTCACTGTTAACTATGTCAACTCTTCGGAATGCAGGAGCCTGATATTCTCTTAACCAAGCAGCCACTGCAGAATATTCTCCATATTGTGAATCAGCCACAAGCCATACAATATCTTTTGCCAGCCAAGTAACATGCGAAAGCAGTGAGAAAACTGAATAAGCAATTCCCAAGGACAAAGCCTCACCCAGACCAACTTTATTTGGATTATAAGGCGTCACCAAGACAATAGCTTCCTTGCCATCCCCACGTGGTGCTCTGATAATTCCAAAAGTGTTAATTCCGAACGAAGAACAAGTTGCATTTTCTGAGATTATATCTGAATCGGGACTGGTAAAGAAGTGCAGTGGATGGAAATGATTGAATTGAGGGTAAAACTTGTGAAAAGTAACCTCAGCATCCAAGGCTGACATATAATGTGCAATAAGTTTTTGACTCTCGCTGCATTGAAATGCAAATATTTTATTTCTTTTTCCAGATGAAATTGTATAAAATCTCTTATGATAAGAGTTATGAAGGAGTTACATTGGTGAGGAACCAGATCTGAACTCCAAATCAGTCAAGTCCTTGATGAATTTATTTGCATCCGAGACATGGTGAGTAGATAGCATGTTGTTTGCGGAACCTGCAGAACCAAGTAATAATTAGAATCAGCAAATTGAAGAGGAAAGGGTAGGTAGTGTGTTTTGTTCTCTGTTTGCAAGCATCCAATGTGTGCAAACAGAGAAGCATGTTCCTTTGTGGCTGGTACTTTTGGGCAAATGTCCATTTGAGGCTGCACCAACGGAAAAACAAACATGTAATGTAATAAATTGGAAATGGAAGTCACCTGGCATAAGGGCATTCTCGGAAATGTAGGTGTTCTTGGCAAGGATAGGGAGAAGGAGAAGAGCCACCACCCCTGCTGTGAAACAAACCACACTGGAAAGAGCCAAGTTTTAATCAAATTCAAATCATTCAACATACTAATAATAATAAGGCGAATGTTAACCAATGTCTTTAGGGCATTGATTAAGAAATTAAAAGTAGTGTTTTTATTAAAAATATTAATGCACCATCAATGCAATTTCCAATAAAAAATTTCTATTATTGATTTCTTAATAGCACAACCCTAATAATAATAATAATAATAGTACCTAACAATGTTGCTGTGGGAGATGAGAAAGATCCCTAAGCGTACAATTGGGCGTGCTCTTGGTTTTGCACTATTGTTCTCATTGGCACCCATGTCTTCCCTCCTCTTCTGATCCTCAAATCACAATTAGAGCAGTCAGTATAGCAAAACATGCCTAGCAGCCCATATGATCTGAGGCTAAAAAGTCCACTAAATCTGAAGCCCTATGTTGCGAGAGTCCATGAGACCAGGAACCCATGGACCAAATTATCAAGTTTTTTAAAATTCTGCCAGGGTTAGGGCCAGGGCTAGGACCAACCTTGTTTGCCTTTTTGCTTTTAAAACCAAATATGCTTTGACAAAAATAATAAAAATTTCTCCACCTAACCACAAATTCTATAACCTACAACACAAGTGGAGATTCACATATACAAAACAGATTAAAAATGCATACACAGTTCAAAATGTAGTAGAATGAAATGGAGACAAACTCCTAAAATAATATTAGAAAACTAGAAATCCTCTAAAATGTAATTATAAGCCAAAGATATCTCCGTGATACAATCAGGTTTTATTCTTTCAAGTCATAGAATTTAGAACCATTTCCTATAATGCACACCATGTAGGCAAATGTGTAATAATCAAAACCATAATCTAATAATGAATTTTGCGTAAAATGAAGTATTAAAAGTCTATAAGTACATTTTTGTATTTTTTTAATTAGGTACTTAAGTATAGTTTTGCAAATAAATTCAGTAAAAACAATGGGCCTAATACCCGAAACTAAGTGGTCATATCATGTGTAAAAATGCAGGTACGAGATTTGAATTAACAGAACATGGCATTTAGTGCTTATATCCATCCTCCTAAAAAGAAGCTAGCCCCTTCGAGTTGTGACTGGTTATTACTTATTATATCTCACTACTTCTTAAAGAGGAAGGTAATGAACACAAACCCATGCCCATGACTAGTGTTTAGAATGTAACCTCGGTGTATAAAATATTAGTTAGCTTTGCTGGTCCAATCAGTTCTTACTTTATTTTATCTTTCATATCTTGATGATATTGGTTAGACCTTTAAAAAGGATGTGCTTCTCTGAGTGATGTGCCACCATGCATCAGGATATCATGAATAATAGAAAAGTAATGTGTATAAATAGTGAAATATGTCCATATTTAGGTTGATTTGTTTTCTGATCTTTTAACATTTATTTTCCCATACTTCTTAAAGAGGAAGGTAATGAACACGTTATTCACTAATTTCAGTCTTAAGTCAATCAATCAAGTATCATATGTTTTTCTAGTTCACTAGTTCAGGGCTGATCCCCATATTGGCCCCGTCCTGACCCACATACTTTAGGACTAAATTCATTAAGACCTATTTGGATAAACATCCCTTGAAACACCTCTATGAGGAAAAAAATAGGAATGAAAATCAAAACAAACTTCTGCATAAGCTAGTTTAGCTTATGCATCAAGTTAAAATTAAGATTTTGGAAAAGTTAACGAGAGACGGCTTCTACAAATTAGCTAATTTATCTTATTGAGAAACTTATTTCATTTTTTCTTCTTATTGTCTCCTAGAAGTGCTTCTAGAAAAGTTTATCCAAACTGATCCGAGGGCCATTTAGTGATTTTATTAAGGGAAGGGTGAGTGCTAGGTGGGTTGAAAACAGGAATGGGTAGGATTGGCCATTAGGCCACTACCCATATTGACAACTTTACATAAAAGGGAGCAACAGATCTCAGAATAAGAACACATAAGATAAGTAGCAGCTGATTCAGAAATAGAACAACACATGACAGTATCATAGAACACAATCACATTAGGAGCAAGCATAAAAGAAGGCAACGGATCTAGGACAAATAATTTCACCAAACTAAGTAAGCTAAATACATCCCACACCACAGCTCAAAAATGCTGGTCTAATCAAAGAATAAAAACCACTATGTCAACACACAGAGAGCGACGAAGAAAATAAGCGAAATGATGCATCCCTTTCGGAATGCGAAAATTCAGTGAAACCTAAAGAGAAAGCAATCGTGCGTGTGCTTAGCTATTTCGTCCGTTCGTTCAATTAGGATAAGAGAAGGACGAGGCAATTCGAACAATGAACAACTAGAAAGAACCTGAGAGCGGAGGAGTCGTGGAACGGAACCGCGCGCGACGGTGGCAGGCGGCGATTGGACGGAGGAGCTGAGAGTGAGAGCGTGATGAGTGCGCCTAGTAAGAGAGAGGAAACTAACACATCACCTTAACCAGTTGATTTTTTTATTTTTTTTTTGACTTAATTGCAGTTTTATCTCTCAAATATTCTAATCGTGTAATTTTGATCCCTAAAATTTTAATTGGGTAATTTTAGTCCCTAAAAGATTGAAATTGTGTAATTTTAGTCTTTTAATTTTTAATTAAACAATTTTAGTTCCTCAAATATCATAATTGTGCGATTTTAATTTTTTTTAATTAAAAATTTAATAATTTTAAAATTATGATATTTGAGAGACTAAAATTGTTCAATTAAAAATTGAATGACTAAAATTGTACAATTACAATTTTTTAAGAACTAAAATTACTCAATTAAAATTTTAAAAATCAAAATTGTACCATTACAATAATTGAGGGATCAAAATTGCAATTAAGCCTTTTTTTTCTTTTATTATTTCCCATCTTCCCCCATTTCCTTTCTACCTTTTTTCAGTTTTTTGCATAGCAAAAATGTTCGTAATGTAAATTCATATTTTATATTTATATTTTATTTCCCTTAAAAAAATATATTTTATTTTATTTTATGTTGTACGAGTAGAGGAAGTGTCTCTCTAATTTTATTTTTTTTAGGATTTTGTGAGAAGATGATCGTAAAAAAAAGTATATTAAAATTTCAAGATAGATGAGTATTTTTTTATATCTATTATGGAGAGAATAGTTTCTAAAATTATAAAGTATGTAAAAAGGTAAAAATATTTAATAAAAAAGATTATAAGGTTTTATATTATTTATACATAGAACAATTGGTTTAGATGAACCTTTGAAAATAAATAGTTCTGAAAAGTCATGCTACAAAATCACTAATGCAAAAATTAAATTTAAATTATCCATGATCTCTGGACCAAGTAAATTGTTATTAGTAAACAAGCAGACACTAAAATTTAAGAAATTAATGCCTTATTTGATTTGTACTTTTCTTATTAAAATTTTCAAGGTGACTGAATTCTCAAGGCACAAGAGTAAAAGGAAGAAAATTTTCAATTACTAAAATGTTGGTTATATTTGAATTTTTTTATTATATTATTAATACAAAATATCTATTTATTTAATTAATGATTAATTTTTTATAAAAAATTTGATTAATCATTTTTAGTAAAATCTTTTTTTTTAATCATGTTGTTTTCATGTACAAAATTCAAGTTCAAAACCTTTTTTTTTAAGAGATCAAGTCTAACATAACTAAACTAAAATGTTGAGTTTGAATCTATATTTAAAATAATAATATTTTAAATCAAAACCAACATCACTACAAAATAAATGTTTTTTAAAATTATTATTTTATATTGGTTTCCTAAAATTTAATGTACAATAATATTTTTGTAATATTAAGATAAGTATTTTAAATAAATTAAGACAAAAATCAATGTTCTACATAAGTTCTTTAACAATTGATGTGTAAAATATAACCGAACAAATTTTTAATTTGTAAATATTCAAACCGGACTTTCTGTATCAAATTAGTTGTAATTAATTAATGTAAAAAGTGATTTCTATAATAATTCTCATTAAATCTTAAATGTTGATATTGTTAAAAAAAATTAAATCTAGACTTTCTGTTTCAATTTCTAGTACGACCAATATAAAGTCTTACTAGACATCACTTTATTTCAACAAACACTTTCATTATCGGATCAGATAATACAATGTTTTTAGCTCATGCTTTAAAAAAAATCCTAAAGTTTATGTTATATTTATTATTTAAAGTAAAGTAATATGACAATTTTTTTTTGGCTAAAATAGTATTTTAGTCTCTTATAATAATTGTTTGTTTCAATTTAATCCCACTTTTATTTTTTGTCTCAATTTGGTTCATAATAAATTAATTGGTTGCAATGTCGGACTTCCGTCCAGCCCGTTCCAGGTGCAAAATTAACACACTAAGAGTGCAACCAGAACGGGCCGTTCTGGTTTCAGAACGGGCCGTTCTGGTTCCAGACTGCTAAACTCAAACGGTCAATGATTATAATTAACGGTTGTGAATGAAGGAAAAAAAACCCAAGGTACAAAACATTTCAAACACTGGATTTGGTAATATTGTCAATGAAAATTGATAACTTCAATTGCTAAATAGTTGGGCTTTACAGTATATCATTAAGGACAATGCAGTGTATTACTAAAGACAATGGTAGCAGATTTTATTTCATTGTTAGTCAAACTGAAGTGAACCACTTACTACCAAATTGACACTATACAGTAAAGGATGAAATGACATGGTATTTTTCCTTGAAGTCATTAACGATGTACCCCAATAACAACTACCTGTTCTTGAAGAGGTAGAACCTGAAGTAAAGGAAGAGGATACACAGGACTAGCATTTCACCACACAACCACATGCAGGGACGGATCTAAGTTAATCATAGTGGGGGCACTTGCCCCCGTTAAAATTTTTTTCATTCTTTTTTTATATGTATAAAATATTAATAATTTTATAAAATATACATTATTAATTATATTTTAATTATGTTGTTATATCTAATATAATAAATACATTAATATTTTTTTATATTTTATTTTATTGTTTAATTGTTTTTTATTTTGTGGTAAAATTATCTTCATTTTTAATGAAGAAAAAATTTACTTACTTCAAGAGTAAGTCTTGATAGATTTATTCTATTTAATAATTAATGTTCTATATCAAATTTTTAAGAATTTAATTGTTAAATTAAAAAGTTTTTCATGTATAGATCAAATTTATAAAAATTTTTAAAAAATTAAAAATCATATGATACTTCGTTAAATTAATTCAAATTAACATATAAAATATTTTTGTTTTAAATGAATGTAAAAATTTAGAGGACACTAAAAGAAAATAAATTAATAATTTTATTATGTTTATCCTATTAATTTTTATCATTTTATTCCTCTAATTTTAAATAAGTTGCAAAAAATTATAAAGTGACACTTAAATATTTTTTCAGACAGAAAGAGAAAAAGGAAAAGTTATCGTTCTATTTATAAGACAATTGTATTTTATAAAAATAAGTAATTTTAAAACTTTTACCATAAATAAATATTTTTCAAAATTATTATATTTTTTAATAAAATTAATATAGAATATTCTATTGTCCTCACTTAACTTGACGTTCTGGAACGGGCCGTTCTGAATCCATAAAGGCTCGTTCTGCTGTACTGGTGGTGTGTTAATTTTGCATCTGGAACGACCCGTTTCAGATGCAAAATTAACACACCAAGAGTGTACCCCAGAATGGCCCGTTCTGGTTTCAGAACGGACCGTTCTAGTTCCAGGTGTTTTCAAGAAATTTGGCATCCACGTAACAAACAGTTAACTTCGTTTAAATAATTTGGACGGAAGTCCGACATTACAACCAATTAATTTATTAAGAACCAAATTGACAGGACTAAATTGAAACAAACAATTATTATAAGGGACTAAAATAGGTTTTTAACCATTTATTTATTTATTTATTCAGCGCATCAAAATTTTATTTATGTCTTGATTATTTTTTTATTAATAAAAATATTATAAAGACCACAACGATAAATGAATCTAGAGGTTTTTTTTAATGTTTTATGTTAATTTAAATCAAAACCAACAAAGCCATACAAAAAAAATGCCTTTTCACATTATTATTTTATATTGGTTTCCTAAATATTGATGTACAATGATGCTTTTGTAATACTAAGATAGACAGTTGAATTGATTGCGACTAAAATCAATGTCATACATCAGTTCCATGGCAATTGATTTAAAATTCATGCTTTTGTAATAAGGTTTTGGAAAATTAAATTTATAAATATAGAATATAAACTACCTGATTATATTTATTTTGTTTTATTTTATTTAGGTTTAATTAGCTAAAAGTATTTTTTAGTTAATAATGCAATAAAAATGATCAGTTTCAAAATATGAAACAAGAATTATAAAACTCCAAGAACGGGTACAATTAGTTCTAACTTCTAAGATAACTAATCTCTAAAACTAAATTTGGATTTGTATAATTAGTAAAACTTTTTTTTTTTTTACTTGTACGTGTTTCTTTTGCCAAGTCATGTAACTTCAGTGGCTGTGTTATTTGAGAATAAGTTCTTTATGCTAAAAACAAATAAGAAAAATAAGTTAGTAAGATAAAATAATATTATATAGTACATGTTTTAAATTATTGTATTATTCATCATTCACTACTTGAGACATGTTAGTATCTATTAGATTTGGATGAAGACTAAGGTTTTCTTTTATGAGCTTGAGTGGCAAATTTTTTTCTTCTTATTTTGTTTTTTACTTTTTTTTTTTTTTTTTTTTTTCTTTTTTTTCTTTTT